GAAATGTCAACATCGGGCTCGATCTGACAGGTGGGCTAGTTTTGTGGATCACACATTGCCTCGCCAAGCCGCAAACCTCCACATTTCCATATTCATCTGTCTCTTCTACCTCGAACTGACAGCTGAATATACTCTAACAAAACACAGAATGTGATTTGGATGAGAAATAGCAAAGGCAATGGAATATATTTACAGTGTTGGGTAGTAAACAAAGGTACATTTGAATAAAAATATCAGGGGAAAATAGCTGAGATATCAAAAGTGAAGTTAATGTTATGTTTAAGTTTGGTTCAAAGGAACTCCTGATATTTATATGAGAATGTCTTGCTATATGCTTGAAATGGTTTTATGAATCTGCAGCCCTTCAGAGGAGAACTACGGGTGAGCCTTTATTTTTTGCATTTTTATTTTTAAATGCATTTAAATCGGCATTACAAAAATGTAATTCATGTGGTTAAAGCACGGATGTTGGCAAAGCATTGATCTATAAATGACGGATGATTCTTCCATTTTTGGCAAAAGCAGCAGTTCATGCACCACTTTGTGCTAGTCACTGCACTCAGGCAACTCAAATAGAGCCCTAAATATTGTGCATAATGTTTCGATAAGAGTCCATTGCTGGTTGTTTTTTGGGGCGATTTTTGTGATAGAACAAGTAAGAGGAAAAACAGCTCTGGAGCCAGAATATTTTCATACAAACTAACTCCTCATTCACGGGGTTTATTTTGACCAATTTGACCACAGGGAATACGGTACTGAGGTGATTTATAGTGGCACCAACCTTGACATTTTTCAGAAGTATATACAGGTCATATAGTTTACCGGTAGACCTTGTATTAATGCATTTAACTTTACTTTCACAGAAAATTCTTCTCACCTATTAGTCTATTAAAAGAAGTAGTGCATCTCTGTGCATGTATTTCAAGAAGAAAAATACATAAGTGATCTGAGTTGTGGATCGGAGTGATACATTGAAAATTTTCCAGGACAACTTAGATTATTTCCAGGATATTTGGTCATTTTAATCAATTTCCAGGCATTTCCATGACCGGAAAACTAGTCTCTAAATTTACATGTTTTCCCTGTGACATGAATATGTTTACTGTGTCTCTGTAACCTTAAAGTCTTTCCATTAGCACTTCTGGCCACACCAAGTCAAACCATGCCATGCTGATTTGCATTTCCATTATTAGTTTCAATAAGTTTTGCTGAGTTGCGCAGAGCCTCGCCCGAGCTGATCCTCCTCTCGAGTCTTTATAGAACTGAGAGTGGTTATATAATTTGCTGTGAAAATTAGTGCAGTCCATGTGTTGCTTTCAGGCAAGTGAGCCCAGGTCTAACATCGTTTTGAATTACTACAGAATGCCTCTCTATGGGTATACAGTACATACCAAATCTTTTTTTTCCTTTCCTTTTCTTTGTATAGCCTGACTTTCATGCATGTAGCCATTATTTGCATATATTAAATTCTCCAATCGACCTCCATGATGAAAATGAAGAAGATTTCTGACCAAAATGGAAAGCCTCTGTAGGGAGGCAGTGTGCAGCTGAGCCTCATCGTCAGTCTGGCCAGGGGCAATCCGCCATCCCACTGTTGGGCCTCTTGTCCTATCATGGTGTGTCTCTGTGACTGAGAGGGGAGCCGGGATCACTGAGGGCCAGAGCCTCATACAGATGTGTGCAGGAAGACCCATTTTCCCCTTCTGGCAAAAAAGACAATCAATAAGAAGTATTTTTCTTCATCTCCCTCTCCTCCTTCTACGTTTTCACACTTTGCGAGAGACCCCCTGCCTGCGGGGCATCCTCCATCTCTCCTCATCCGAAATCCATCCATTCTCTGTAGCCTTCAGCCCAGAGGCCAAACTGCAGTGAACATGCTTTGTCTCCATACTTGACTTCTTCCCTGGTCGAACCCTTTCATACTCTCATCTCTGTAATTCTCTACATTAATTATTCAAGCCCTTCCAGCCTATGAATATAAATCCATTATGTCTGCCCTGCTACACTCTGCTTCAATTAAGAGATTGGGGATGAAATCATATGGGGGTATAGCAGATCAAGCGATTAAAGGATTCATGAGACTTCACTTTAAAATATTTATGCTACACTTGCCAATGCAGAGATACATACAGTACATACAGTATATGCAATTACTTAATGGCTGCTGTACTATTGTTCACCTGTCAAGTTCCAAGTAAAGCCTCTAGAAATGTTCCAGCCATGCTCCTGTGGGATTCTGGTCCATGTTGACTCCATACAAAGAGTTGACACATTTTCAGTTTTACATTTATGCTGCAAGTGTTTCATCTCATTCAAAAGCACTCTGTTGACATTCCTGGAAGCACTCCGAGATGTGCTTTGTGAGATGGAGCAATATCCTGCTGGATGCAGTCCAGTTTGACTGGCCACAGATGGATACACCTGGTCAGCAGCAGCACTAGCGCATGCTGTGACATTGAAATGAGACTTGACTGGTATTAATGAGCCTAATGTGTGTGTAGAAAACACACATCATTAGAGTATAAGCCTGTTCCTTTGTTACAAGCTGGGATGGAAGCAATGATTCATTCTGTTTATCCCACATTCTGACCCTGCCATTAGCATGTGGCAACAGAAACCAAGAGTAATGGGACAGAGTTGCACCAGCTATGTGTAAGTTCTCTATTAAGTTAGGGTGTAAACTTGACACTAAATGGTAAACAGACTGTACTTATATAACGCCTTTGTAGTCTTCCAACCACTCAAAGCACTTTACACTATGTGCCATATTCACAGATTCACACAGTGATGGCAAACGCTCATTACAAACAAAACCTAATCCATTCCCTCACATTCATACCTCAATGCACAGCATCAGGAGCAATTTGAGGTTCAGTATCTTGCTCAAAGATTCAGCAGGAGAACCCAGGGAATCGAACCACCAACCTTCTGGTTAGTGGACTCCTGAGCCACCACCGCCCAACACTAAAGGTTTAGTAACTACTAGTCAACTTGTAACTAAATCAGCTTCTAAAATTGGTTGCACCACGATAACCCAAGAATAATGCACCATTAATGTGTAGTAAAGTCGACACCTGCAGATCAATTATTACCTAATAATAGTTAGTTTGTAACTAAATCAGCTACTTGGTTGCGCCACAATCACTTACGGAATAACCAGTTTGGACATAAAGTCATAAGTAACTAACTAACTTATTGTCCAATCAATGACCAAAGAGAGAGTTCCACTGTCAAGGTTACTGTGAACATTAATTTTATACTAACCTGTACTACCTAATAATAATAGAAAATATTGATACACTTATGATATTGCATTGCTTCTCAACAACACTGTATCGATTTTTGTTTTTAAACCACCAACCTCTAGATAGCAGTGTTGTAAATGCAAACTGAGGGCCGCGATGTTGGCTGTTACAGGGGCTGTGATAAATACAAATGCAAATCCCACTGTTGTGGTTGCATAAAAATGTCAGCTCTTTTAAAACTCTTTATATATGATATTATGCATATGGTGGTGTGCTCTTTATACTGTGACAGTTTTCCTAAAATTAGCTTACAGTATTACAATATATTGAAAAATACAGAAATAACTGAAGCAGCCACCAATTTCATTTTTTCAGTTGAAGCATTATATGCTGCTGTCATTGCACACAGAGCAACACAAGATAACAACATGGTAGACTATCAAGTTTTACAAAGCAAGTCTTGTCTCAAAAAGACCTAACCGCAAACCTAACTGTAATGGAAACAAGGAGAAGGGTGATGGAAAAAGAGGGCGGACGTGCTCCCTGTTTCTTCATCCAAGTTTCTGCTTGCCCCTCCGAGGCTCTCATCTTCGTTGATTGATACTAAATTACTCCTAAAACAGATCAGAAGCTGGCACTTCTTCGGCTTCCTCTCCTGCCGTCCAGTGTGATCAACACTTCAGCTGACAGTGCTGTTGGCAGCCATGCAGGAGAGACACTGCACAACGCCTTAGGATTTTATTACTGAACTATAATTGGGACACATTTTATTTCTTTGACTGTTTTCACATTAAAGGGGATCATGTTAGATGACATTAAAGGTACTAAAACCTAAGTCTTACAGGTAAAACATTCATGTTCACTGAATGGAATATAATACTCATAGGTATGTTTTCGTTGGAATTGTTGTGTTTTTGTTACCTTAGAATGAGTTGATTTCATCAACACCAAGTTGAACCACCATGTTTCTACAGTAGCGGACAAAAAACCACTGGCTCTAGATAAGGCCTTTCTCTTACAGGCTTGGTTGGTTTCAGCTGGATACAGTTCACTAATAGATGGCACTAAATCATACACTTGTCCTTTAACGGATAACATAAAACAAGATCTACCTTAGGTACAGTCCTGATATCAAGTTTGTGCAAGTACATGATGTGTATGAGTGAAATGAATCATGTACAGCAATGTGTCTCAAAGTGAAATACAAAAGAAGTTTCGCAAGCATCCGTATCACACATGGGAGGAATTGATTACGTTTTTTAAGGCAAAACATTTTCATTTTACCTTCTTCCTTCCTACTCAGGGCTGGGTTTTGGAAGTTGGCATTGAACGACTTGCCAGGTCAAGATATTTTCAGATTTAAGTTAGATCATAACATGGTTTTGCTACCCAGGAAACACTAGATGGATTGTGTCGATTTCATTTTGGTCGGACCAGACCAGGTTCAATATGTCAGTGCAGGCTCACAAACAGATATGTTGTTAAGACCACTTTTGAACATCAGTGAACAAAATCAACATTTAGAACTCCTAATGGCAATGTTCATTAAATGACCAAAAAAGAAAGTAAGGTATAAGTACTGAACCTCAGGTATTACTGTATCAATGCTCAGCCATGTTCCTACTGTTGTTGGACTGAAAGAAAAGCAGATCCAGCTGCACTGATGTAGGCTGCAGGGGAGGAGGTTTTCTAAGATAGTTGCCATCAGAAATTACACTCATACACGTAGGGTGCACTCAGACACTGCCAACTCACCAGGAATATCCTCTCCAGCTGATCCTGGATGTCCTTCATCCCGGGAAAGGCAGCCACTCCTTGGATCATCTCAATGAAGATGCAGCCCACTCCCCTTGAAGAGAGAACAACAATACTTTTATTACTCTTGATGTCATTTCCAGATTTCCTGCCAAAAAATAATCATCATTACAATCACAGAAAACAAGTGAAGTATAATACTGATTGGTTTGTTGTTTGTGCACATCTAAATCCAGTTTGAACTTGAATCTCCTTAACAAGCCTCAAAGCAAAAGTAATTCTAAAAAAGGCACTGATTTCATTTCTTTCTAAAGGCTGTCAGACTGTGAATGCAGGTTGAACTCAGTAAATCAGTAGATGAGTGCAACCTGTGAGGAGCCGTTACACTGAGAAATATCAGGTCCAGTAACAAGGGAGAGCAAAAGAGGTGTGTGCGTGTGGGTGTGTGTAAACTGTTGCCAGCGCTCATTTGTCAAAGGGTCTGACAGTTTCACTTTCTGGCCCAGTGCACACTCCCTCTCTGAGCCGAAACACCAGCAACGCAAGGGGGGAGGGAGAAAGGGAGGAAGGGATTACTAGAAATTCATCCCTCAAAATTTCTACATTCCCTCCATTTTAACATTTCAGAAGCCTGCCGTGAATGAAATCCTGTATCATGGGGATCCATCCATCTCCATGACACGGCTGTAACCTCAGCATCCAGTATTTCTACTGGAGCGTACAGAACAGCTCTGTTAGCTGAGCTCTGTGTGTGTGTGTGTGTGTGTGTGTGTGTGTGTGTGTGTGTGGGACAAAGGTCAGCTTCCAAACAGTATACATTCATATCATCTCTAGGGTTACAGTCATATGGTTTACATCTGCTATTTTATGATAATGTTCCTCCCTGACAGTGACAGAGGACTATACAAGAGGTCGGTGGGTGACCTTAACTTACACCTCCATTAACTGATTTTCTGCAACATGGGGCCAGTGGAAAACCACCTATTGTACAAATGATCAGCTTTAAAAGTTGTTATGTTATAGAATGTTGTTTATTTACACATCCACATGGTGTTTGTGTCCACCTGATTAATGTAAGTGTAATATCCACTCCTGTTTCAATTCAAAACAAAACCAAAAGAGTAAAGTTGTGGTACGTAAAACTAAAATCATAAGATGCAAGATGCAAAAATACATTGTAGAACTTGGAGAATTGGAGAGTAGGGTGATAATTCTTTCTAGATTTATCACTTAACATGCAAGTCATATGATCTATTGTTAATATACAACCCTGTCAAACACCTTTTTCAAATTCCAGAATGTGATGCTATAAATAATTGATTTGAATTCATAAAATCCAAAGACTGATCTCAGTTTTACTCATATTATATCACCATTTAAAGCCACTACAAGGAACTTTCATTTTGCGTTGATTCTGGTGGCCCCTGTGGGCAAAAGCGGTAGTGTTTCTACCACCTTGTTTCATTGATTTCAAGGGGACTAAATCCGAACTGGTGGCAGGGATTAAGAATAACCATATACAAACAGCCAATCTTTTCGCTGATGGTCGTGTTTGTTTATGAATATATCATAATCATAAGTAGACATCGGTATTAAATTGAGACTGTTACATAACCAGTTAAAAACTCCTTCTGGTATGTTTAAATAATATATTAGTGCTATAATTGTTCTCTTTCTAATTCCTATTGTTCAATGCAGTTGCTGGCTCAGACCGCACACAGCCAGTTTGTTGTTTTAACACTGCTGTTACTGTAATTACATAGTGTTAGAGGTTCTGTGGCTGTAAGATCTCAGTAAATCAGTCAGTCACTGGGGCCAGCTGTGCTGCTTAAGTTTTAGCACACAGTAAATTAGCCTCAGTAAATACAGGCCTGTTTGCTCACAGGCAGTTAATGAACCCTTGTGATGGCAGCAGACCTGGCTGGGAGGAAAGCTGCTGCTACCACAAATACACTGGTGGGATTCACACAGCAAAAACACATCTGTCTAAAGAAGTGATTCTGTCTCATAGTCATCCTCCAAGACTTGTCATTTAACTCTCACTCACTGATGGTTTTAAAAGGGTTAGACTGAAAAAGTAAAGTAGGTAAGGAAGATCAAGTTCATGAAACACTGATCGTTACTTCTACAGATTGGAAATCTCAAATGGAAATAGTGGCAAAAACTCTTCTCCTGGTGTCAACTCTTATCTTCTCCTCACACAGCTGGAGTCATGTGAAGATGATGCTGCCAGAAGTACTGGAAGTGACCTATCCATTGGGATGCGGAGCCATTTATCCAGCCCAGTTACACGCCAAAGCATGTAATAGACCTGCCAATCCAATAAAGCAATGTTTCTCAAACAGGGTTATGCGTACCCTTAGGGATACTTTGGAGTACTGCAGGGGGTATGTGAGATTTTAAGAAAATGTATTTAAGAAATGTCTGTCAAGCATGATTCCTAAAATAATTATACTATAATAAGTGTACTAAAAATGTAAATGCAAGTTCAATAAACCACCTTTTTATGCTATAGTCCCATTTTTCAAAGCAATAGTTACTTGCCATAAACTGTCAACTACCCTAAAACCTTTTGATCACTGTAGCTGCCTCCGTGCCACCGAGAATGAATGACTAAGATCATGCACAAGCATGTTTCTCATTAAAGTGTGCAACAAATGCACAAAAGCAATGTACCAAAAAGACGCAGTGTTATTGCATGATCATAAAAGATTGTTAGGCATAGTTTAGTCATAGTGTGCCATTAATTTACTGATTGATTATAAACATTTAAAATGTAGCATTTAAGTGTTTTTCAGTTGTTGTTCAATTTCTTGGCTGAAAAAATATTTCAAAGGGGTTACATTAATGAAAAAGTTTGAGAACCACTGCATTAAGGGATACCATGTCAGTATTTTGCCTACAATACAGGTGCAGTACCAGCAGGGGCGGTAATGACAGGAGCCAAGGATGAATGTAGTATAAAGAGCAACAGTCCATGTAGGGGTGAGTGGATGGAGAGGTCAAACACAAGACTTCCACACGCTAGACTGGGGTTGGGGTCAAATCAATAGTTAACATTGACTTATTTAAATTAACTTAATTGTTCTGTAGTTACACACATAATGTATTAAACTTCTGTCCAGTATGTAACACACTTTTGTGCATAATGTAGCCTACCTAAACACTTTCCCTTGTGAAACCAATAGTCATCGCTGACTTATTTTAACTATGTTAAGGTAAGTTAACTTATGTAACATACTTAACTTACATCATGTAGTTGACTTTTGTCACGTATCTAATGTAACCTAACTTACAACCCCAACCGGTCGAGGCAGATGGCCACCCACCTAGAGCCGGGGTCTGCTCAAGGTCTGTCTGTCTGTCGTCATTTTTTGAAACAAAGAATAAATTATATTATCTCCACAAATTATAACCTCTTTCCCCACTTGGTGCACATTCAAACCCTTGGGCATTTGCTCACAGTGTCTTTTCTGTTCTCTTCTCTCAACATCCTAGTAGGTCCTTTCAGTTAGTTTGATTATCTGTCAACAGGTACATCGAGGAGCCCTAGGAGAAGTTGGAGATAGTGACATGCTAGTTTCTCTATAAAATATAATTTATGTGCTTTTGTTTTTAATGTGCACTTACAGATGAGGCAAAAATATGATTCTATTGTGTGTACCCAAAGCCTGATATATTTGCTTAGAGCTCAACTGTCGGAAATACTTACTAAAACACCAAATGTGGATTATTTTGCTGCTGAAATTAAATTACATCTACAGTAGGAGCAATGGACAATGGAGTGTAGAGCCACAGACTATTACAAACTTACCAACACAATGTTGGCTTCGATCTTTTCATGGGATTTGTTGACAATGAGAAAAATATAGAACTACACCAGCCTTGCCATTAAAGTTCGGGCTGTTTTGCAGTGCAGCCTACCACAACTGAACATGTACATTAATCTCTGCATGATCACACTTGAGTGATCTCAGCTTTGAGCCTGATTGACAGACGTGTGTGAGAGCTGCAGCTGGGTGATGTGCTAAGGAAGGTAAAAATAGAGCAGTTCCTCGCCCGTCTTCCATCACACCCTCCCTCCTCACAGATAGCAGCCTGTAACCTGTAGGCTGCTGTGATGGATGCTTCTTGTGGCAGGAAGACAGATCTGCACAACCTTTTGGTCCTGCAAGAGATGCTTTTTCATGGAAGACTGCTTCCTAAGTGACCAGGGGTGAGTGTGAGTGTGAGTGTGAGTGTGTGTGTGTGTGTGTGTGTGTGTGTGTGTGTGTGTGTGTGTGTGTGTGTGTGTGTGTGTGTGTGTGTGTGTGGTGCAGGGTGACTCTCAGAGGGCTGGAACACCACCCTGTGGATTTGGCCACCTGCAAATACCCTTGAAGCAGACACACTGTCCCTTCTGCCTCCCACACTCCCAAACCCCCCAACAGCTCTTTAATTGGATGCTGGAGAATGCAGCTGGGGTTCATGGGATGTCCCTGTGGACTGCCTGTCCAGACAGAAGGGGTCACCAAGGCTTGACAGAGAGTCCAACACCAGTATTGTTGGACGGAAGCCTCATATGTAAGGGAGACTAGGTGGAGAATGGCCAGTCTAGAAGGGGAAGCAGATTGCTCCACCTCTGGGGCATACTCATTTTCCATTTCCTGTTCAAGCATTTGCTGCAGTTGTGTTCAACCTGAGTTAAAATCTTATCTTCCTAATTGAGGAAAATACCAGAAGATGAATCAGATACAACTTCATATATTTCAGCATCTCTTCATCAGAGTCAAATATTAAGCCCTGGAGGACACTTTGTCAATTGTGTTATGTCCACTGGAAAGGCACTTTTCAACCACCCCAAGTCCACCAGTGAGCACCATAATGCATTATTTCAATGCCTGACATGTAGACAGTGAAAAGTCTCACTACAGAAACAATCTTGCTTTTCGATTCTTATCATTTTCTGACGGAAAGTGCTGGTTAGCAGTTGATCATTTGTGAATGAGCTGGCAGATAGTAAAAAGTTATTAGAATGTCCAAATTAAAGCATTATGCACATAATATATAGTCTATGTATGTTTGCACAGACTGTTAGCAGTCAACGGTATCATTAGGGGTTGTAAGTAAATATAAAATTTCTTTTGAATGTCAAAATTCTTTTTAACAATGAATACTGAGTAATGCAATACGCAACTAATGTAACATCCTGCTACATGTTAGCCAAATTGATATTCTTATCTACAGAAACCTAGCTAATGATACATTTGGAGAAAACAACTTTTAAATGTAAATTGTAATCACAATATTGGTCAGAAAAAAATACATCTATACAAATATATCACTCTAGCTTAGTGATAATATGATAACGATAATGAGGCAATTGTTCTACTCAAAGGCAAGTAAGAGTTCAATCAAATTTTTGTAGCAGCTCCATCTGTATGTGTGAGAAACGTGAATGTGATGAATGTGTGTGATTCTGCCTCTCCAGCTCCACACTGTCAGTGGGAGGAGGGAGGCAGGAGGTGAAGGGTGACCAAGGAGACAGAACACATGAGAGGAACAAACTAAGATACACAACAGAGATTTATCCAGGGAACACACCCTCAGGTTAGGATGAGCTACAGTTAGGTGTGTTTTAATGTGTTTTTGTTTATGATTTATTTTTAGTTCCCTGTAGAAAAATAACGATCTAGATTTTAATGGGAATACCTGAATAAATCAAGGATAAATTACACAAAGAGTGTCTGGGGGGGATCTTTTAGGGTCAGGGGTTAGGAGTACCCACCACATGTCCAGGCAGGTGGAGTAGTCTGTGGATCCCAGCAGGACATCTGGAGGCCGGTACCACAGGGTCACCACCTCATTGGAGTAGGTATGGCTGGGGACTGATTTGGCCCTGGCCAGGCCTGAGGGGAGAAACACAACAACACTGTCTGAGAAAGCATTATCATTGAATGACCTTCACCGGGGTTCTGAAAACAAAGCAGAAGACAGGAGAGGAGCAGCCAGACACACTGTAGTAGGAACTCTCTGGTTATACACACAACAATGTATAAAATGCATTTAGATAAAATTAGATTTTAATATAATACATCTATATAGATATAAATCTGTGTGAGGAAATTGAGTCATTGTAGCATACTGTAAGAATTAGGATACAGCAAGGACATGCAAAATGCTGGACTGTCCAGAATTCTGATAAATAAAAAAATGAAATGGCAAACAGAAGAACAATAAAACAGAAAGAAATCATAAAATAGTAATGTTTTCGCTGGTTTAGCAAAACGGTTTATCCACCATGAATGTGCTCAGCAAATTCCAGAGCAATATCTCCATTAGATTATGAAATTTAATAGACAGCCCCCACCCAAGAAAATCACATAAGAATCTTGATATGTATCTTCTGCAATTTTGAATCGATTCACAGGTTTGTAAAAACCGATTTTGTTATGTTGTTATTAAGATTATGATTCCACATTGCTGTTGCCTGAACAGAAAAGAAACAGAAAAACTGAAACCAAAGTGTGACAATGTGGCCCCATCTCAGACAGAATTGCGACAACAATAATTTGGGGGCTGTAAATTAGAAGTATAATGTTGCCATGGAGTCAGTGAGTTAGCTGTGGGCTACAACTTGACCCCTCTGTTGTTAGCCTATATTTTTTCACATTCCGACAAATTAGCACCGTTAAAAGTATGCCGAATCAATTGTTAGTAGTTGCGTTTTGCAATGTTCCCATGGATGTACAAACAACTATCACTGGATTACTTTGATACTGAATAAACTGAATAAAACATAAACACATTTTCCTATGATTTCTCAGCGATGCATATTGGAAATAATATATCCCTGGAAAATGTAAGTCCTTGAATCTAAAAGTATGTGTATCTGGTCTGTGTTTTCCAATTTGACTATGATGTTTTTGACGCAAACTGCAACAATCAGGCGCTTAGGGCTTTAAAGTACCTTAACAGCCTTCATGAGTAGTGTGTTACTGCAACTGCTAATCGTGTTGGTGAACAGACTGAAATAATAATTCAAAAGTATTACACTAAGTATCGTAGAGGATGAGGTTAAAAAAATTACAATTACAATGTAGTCTGTAGCATCACACTAGCGTAAATGCTGGGTGTAATTGGGCGTGGTCAGGTATATGCTCTGTTGCACCTGTAACCAATGCCTGAATGGGCCAGGACTCAGCACTGATTTTTGTCCACATCAGTTTAACTTAGTTTGAATTGCGTACTGCCACCTGTGGAATCTGGATCAAAAAATGTTGTTAGGGTTGCATCACAGTGAATTAGGGTACTGGCACCTTTTTTGGTCCAATTCAGGCACTCCCCATAATCACACCCAACAGTGATGTCACACTGTACTGGCACACCGGGAGTACACCTCCACATCACTGCAGCAAAGTGAGAATTTAACCACTGGAGAATTTCAGCTAAGTTAACTTTCTCATTAAAAGGACATTCATTTTTGTAAGATATCCACATCCTTGTTAAAACCATGTCATCACTGTATCCAAAAAGTTACACATTGAAGTTCTTTTATTTTTCCAACTCATTTGATGTTTACCTGACAAAGATCTTAATGTTTGAAACATTGCCTTGTTAAATTCTTGGGAGCTTGCAATATTGCTTGCAACGTTCAACATGCAAACTCTACCTGACAGACCTGTCTTTGGACTGACTCCTGTACATTGAACTGCGACAGGCCTGAGATTGCCTTTTCAAATGGAAATCATGATGGAAGACCTTTTCAGTGAGAAACCATGCGATGTGTACACCTCTCAGAGGAACCCAGACTGTTTCTACTGAGTGAATCGGACATCATTGGACGTTTTTACATTTGAGTACAGTTAGTCAGTGTTGATACTATGCCTAGCTACTTTTGTAACCGTAATTTGAAACAAAGGCTTTATGAGAAGCTCAACAAAAGTGCTGAATTTTTAAAAACCCTATCTAGGGTTGCATGAGTGTCTCCAGGTTGCTAACCCTGTTCTAGTATTAATTTATGTGGGGACACTAACCCGGGTTAGTTAACTATCCGGTGACAGTGCTCCCATGACAACTAATGGTAGAGCAGAGTGCAGATGCAGTGAGCTTTAATGAGGCTGATGGCATTACCTCTTTGTCTCTTCCCAAGTGGTCGAGGGCTTAATTAAAGCATTTAGCCTGGTAAAAAAGGACTTCCTGCCCTGCTGCTTGTCCCCTGTGTGTGGGAGGAAGAAGGGCAGAGGGGAGGATAAATGAGAGGAGGGAGGAGGTATTTAACATTTCCTTGTGTTGGAACACCCACAGGAGAAAGGAGTCTCAGTCGGCATTCATCATGGCCCGAGCACTGTAATTTCCACACACTGATCTAAACGTAGAATAGACGCCATCAGCCCGCTCACACTGAGAGGCTATCATTTCCACTGCAGGCACCCTGTGTGTGTGTGTGTGTGTGTGTGTGTGTGTGTGTGTGTGTGGGGGGGGGGAGGGGGTTGTTGGGGTGTGAGCGGAGACAACATCTACTCATCATAAAAGCGCAGTAGTAGGAGGCTGTTTGTGACTTGAAGAGGTATAGTACAGAGTAAAATGGAACAAAGCATGTCTGGAGAGTCTGGAGGATGGAGATTCAAATGGCGTCAGTTCTATCAGAACTGGATAGTGTTTCTTCATGAAAAAAGAGCAAAGAACATCACTGAAGGTTTTTGTTGATAGAAAAGATGTTTTGTCTCTTCCCCGACTGGTTTCAGTAAGAGTTTCACTATGTTAATCTGTAATAGATGATGATGGACAGATGGCTTATCCAATCACCTGCCAAGTATTTTTTAATGTGCCTGCCCTTTTACAAACTATTTCCATGACCTCCCAGATGGTTCTGTGTAACAAACCATCCGGCGCATTCAAGTTCTTCATTTGTAAAGGACCAGTGTGTAGGGTTTAGTGGCATCTTGTGGTGTAGTTGCTGATTGCATTTACCTCCCTCCCAAGTATGTAGGAGAAACTACAGTGGCCACGAAACGCTCAAACACGAACAGCCCTATCTACTGTAGAAACATGGCAGTTGAACATGGCAGACTCTGTAGAGGGGACCCGCTCCCTCTGTAGATAAAACCAGCTCATTCTAAGTTAAAAAAAACACACAGACTCTGATTTTCAGGTGATCATACACTAATGAAAACATCCCTATGAATATTATACTGCATTTCTGACAATAGATCCTCCTAAATGTTACACACTGAACCTTTAACTATCAAAACTAAAAAGTCATTACAAAATGGCTCCAGCTATCAATGTAGTATACAAATCCAGAAACAGATGATTTTATGCACTCACACCAAAAGCCTCAAGTCTCTCAGGCTGGATTACCCAAACCCCGACCAGGGATGCAAACTTAATCTTTAGGTCACATTACCCTTCAGTGCAACAAAACCGTCACACATTTAGCACCGAAAAGTCAAAGTTGAACATAGTCTGTGACTCTGAACCTGCGAGTCTGTTAGCGCCACAGGGAGATCACACGCAACCTGGAAACAGATTCATGAATTCATTTATTCCATTGAATGGGCTTGTATTGAAGTGACAGACAGCTGGATGTATGCTTGCACCCTCAGACATGTATAGAAGCACTGCACTGTATCACAGAACAATTTGACTGGTGAGGCATTTGGGCATGCAGCCAGGAATAAAGCTGTGCAGCCAGACACTTCTAGGGACAAAGTGGTACCTTCACATTCTCTATGAGCTGTACATGTCCTTGAAGAAAAATAAGGACATAAAACACACGTCAATAAATCATTAAAAAGAAACTGTCAACAATCTGTCAGCATAATAAGTGCAGGGTTATAATTCTGGGTTTTATTATGAGTTAAGACACATTTTTACTATTTTTTTTCTCCGGACAACTTGAGTTTTCTTTTCGTGAAACAAGAATAAATAACTAGTTATCGTTACAATCTCAATTATCTTAGATTAGATTTTTTTGTACGCTGTATCTTTGTGACTGAAGTTGCAAATGTAACAACAAATTGCTAAAGGATAAGGTTTGTGTTAATCTATATTGCCATGAAAAGACTAAAACCAACAATCTGTCCGTCTTTTAACACTTTCTGAATTCATTACCTTGTCTGTAGCTCTCAGCCCCAGGCCTACATTTTCTTAGACTAAAGTAAGTAAAGACTTTTTGTTGATTTGATCTATCTATTACTACTACTTATAGGTCACTACTGTAACTACTTTTGTTGGCTGATGTATTGACCCAGAAACAACCAATGTTTTTTTCATTTGAAGACCATTTTATGCCACTCATATAATGATAAGCATAATAATGCTAATTCTTAAGAATATTCAGACATTAGAATGGGGATGTGAAAAAAAAAAAATCCTGGATAAATAAAACAAATTAACCCTACAACCAAAACAATAAATAAACAGACATTAAACTTAAATAAATATTAAGCATCTGGCACAGGGGTAGGCTATAGAGTCATTTATTCCTTATCAGGCAATACAGTAATTATAAGGAAAACCCTGCTGTTTATTCTGGCATCATGTCTGCTAAAATGTTGGTTATATTATTAAATGACGAGTCGATATTGTGATGGGCAATAATTACATATTGTATACATCGTACGTCAGTTGTGGTTGGGACCCCCACTGGGGGGTTGTGAGGCCTTCTTGATTTTAAGGCATGTACGAAAAACTACATACATACAATACACACAGCAGGCCGATATCTCAGCATTAGGTTCACTTCTGTGAAGACAAATAAATGTAAATTAAATTGTATAGATTTTGTCATGGATCGTCAGTTTATTAAATGATAGAAAAGGACTCCTTTAAGGAAATAGGTTGGGAACCACTGCAATAAGTCAATAACATAATTACTGTGACATGAATTGAAATGTGACGTTTA